GCGCCGCCCCAGCAGGGGTCGGCGGACAAGCACGCAATCCCAGAGCACGTGTCTGTTGAGGCCCCAGCAGCTGGCACTGGGCGCCGCACTCCAGCGTTTGGTGGCCGACGCACCAGAGCAAGCAGATCGGAAAGGCCGCTGCGCCGTAGACGAGGTCCCGAGGTTTACAGGAATCGGCACGAATCATGGTTGTGGTTGCGGTGTCGCTGATTCTAACAATAGTGCAAGTGGAGCTCTCGAGGGCTGGTGGTTTGGAGCTTCCTCATAAAAAAGGCGGAGCTTGGCCTTAGTGTGAAGAGATCCTAAGCAGCAGAAAACGCGCGATCGTCTGGAATCGAGAGGCTCTCTGTCCAGACAGGGCACAGACGCGTCCCTGACTGATTCTGGACCTCCAACGCCCAGAGATCAGTCAGCCTCTTGGCCGAAGCTCAAGGAAGGGGTGGCATGAGTCTTGCACGGCTCGGCAAGTTTCTCAGAAGGAGAAGAGCTTTGTCCAAGTCTCGCGCTTCTGTGAATCATCACTCGCATCTTCAGGTGTACAAGTCTGAAGCCGACATTTTACAAGATCAGTTGCAGGACCGCTTCGGTGAACCTGGGCGCCGATCTCTCTTTGGAAATGGTGTTCGTACTGGACAGGAAATGAGGGACCGCCTCAACTCCGAGGAGATGGCCTTGAGTGGTATGGAGAGCAGCCAGAAGGAGCTTGCTCCCCCTGTCTGATTGTGCATCTCGCGCTGTCAACATCCCTGGGTCTGTTGCGGCTTTGATCCTGCAGTCCTTGGAAGCACAACTTCGCACTGTGATCGTGGACCACACTGCGGAGGAGGCACAACCATGCTTGAGCGGGCTGGGCTAAAGTGCTCACAGAGCCAATGGCCAAGCAGGAACAGGCTGCCGAGGCAGATGCCTTGCTCCAGAAATGGCAGCGGAGCCATGGCGAGGACCTGCGCCAGTTCAAGGCCCCGGCAGCCCAGAGTGCAGGGCCAAGGAAGGGGCGAAGGGCCGGTCGACGGTCTGGAGTTGGAGCTGCAGGCAGAATGCGACGCTTTGCGTTCGGACCTCGATCGCGAGACGGAGAACTGGCAGGAGATGCTTTCTGTTGAGACTGTTGGGCACCTGTCGGAACCAGTGCTTCTTGGGGAAAGTTTCTGTAGATCTCTTGCAGGACCTTCCACAGCGTGAGTCGAGATTGCAGAAGCAGCTGAAGACGGAAGTGGATGCCGTGCGCGACTTGCAGGAGACGCGCAGAACGGGTGCTGCAGTGGATGTTCCGCCTTCGAAGTACGGTATTTGAGGACCTTTAGGAATGTCTGTTGCGTTGCGGATCGTTGGGGACTCCACGACTCTCCGCCACTGCCAGCCACGTCACGCACCTGAGGCTCGGAGTGGTTTTGACCTGGCAGGACAAGAACGGCAACCTCGAAGTCGAAATCCAGCAGGCACACCGGCGCACACATGCGCACACACTCGAGTGACATACACTTCCCCGTGCTACCATTCTCTCTCAATGTACGAGGAAAAGTGTCACGAGGAACAGATTGGGACATGCCACTGAAGCCGCTAGCTGCTTGGCTGCCCCTGCACAGGCAGCGCAATCAAGCGCAAACGACGATGTCTCCACGGCCCTGTCCCCAGTCCATCGGGCCGCGCCCGACACCCACTGGCCAAATCATGTCCGCAGTCTTAGCGAGAAAGAGGAGACCAACAGGCTCTCGCTTCACAAGCATCTGAGGTCAAAGCAGAAATGATGACGTCCCAAATGCAGCAGGCAGGGGCTTAGATCGGAGATGATCGGAGCCTCGTATGCCCTGCCCCCGCCTAAACTGAAAGACTTCCTTGCCAGAACGTCGTGGATCGCCTCTTGCGCAAAGCAGAGAATGAGGACAGCTTGGTAACGGTTGCCGTGACACGCCCCTTGGCCCTCGGGCTCTGCTCGGTGTCACGCTCTTCTCCTGAGGAGAAAGAGGAGAGTCGCCTTGCTGGGGCCTGTTTCTCCTCTCTTCGTCTCGTCTTGTACTCTCTTCCTGCCGATACTGCTTTCAACATCGCAAGGCCAAATCTCTCTGGGAAGCCTTCCACATTGCGGAGGTACCTGCTCAAAGTCATCCTGGGGATGCCAAGCACAGATGTCAGCTGACGTGGCATGTATTCGTGCATGAATCCAGCTGCTGCTGCTGCTGCTGCTGCTGATCATTCTCCCGGGCACCGTATTGTACGTTTCCGTGCACATGCAAAAGGCAACTTTCGAGGCTTAACCAGCCATATGACAGCTGCGACAGCTTCAAGTTGATACAGGGGGATCTCAGTACATTGCCTGTGTTCTGACCAGGTTACTGCCCAGGCCAAGGAAGATTCCTTTCGGCAGCTGCGCAGGGTCGCTGAGAAGGCTTTCTTCTGCTTTGCTGTGTTGGATCCCGGCCTCTCATGCTCGGGGTGTTTCCTTGATCCGCCCATGCAGGAGGAGGAAAGCGAAGTGGATGTCGTGGGCTTGCTTGAGTTCCGGGAGAGCGAGATGCGTCAGCTGGCACAGGCTGCGTGCTTCTCCGACAAGCCTGAGGCTGCATGTTGTTTTGTTCCTTTCATAAAATCATGCCTGCACACTAGGCAATTGCCGAGATGGCATCTTGGAGCGCAGAGCGGATTGCCTTGGCTTCGATGTGTTGTTGAGCAACAGCTGTGCAGTGAGGGAAATAGTGATACAAGGAGGAGGAGGAGGAGGAAGAGGAGTGGTGGTAGTAGTAGCAGCAGCAGCAGAAGCAGTAGTAGCAGCAGTAGTAGTAGTAGTCGTCGTCGTCGTCGTCGTGGTCGTAGTCGTAGATGCAGGCGTGGTAGTGGTGGTGGTAGTGGTAGTAGTGGTAGTAGTGGTAGTAGTGGTAGTAGTGGTAGTAGTGGTAGTAGTGGTAGTAGTAGTAGTAGTAGTTGTTGTTGTTGTTGTGGTAGTGGTAGCAGTAGCGGTAGCGGTAGCGGTAGCGGTAGCGGTAGCGGTAGCGGTAGGAGTAGTAGTAGTAGTAGTAGTAGTAGTAGTAGTAGTGTAGTAGTAGTAGTAGTAGTAGTAGCAGTAGCAGTAGTAGATAGTAGATGTAGATAGTAGATAGTAGATAGCCGATAGCAGATAGCAGATAGTAGTAGTAGTAGTAGTAGTAGTTGTTGTTGTAGTAGTAGTAGAAGTAGTAGTAGTAGTAGTAGTAGTCGTATTAGTCGTCGTCGTAGTAGTAGTAAGAGGAGGAGGAAGAGGAAGAGGAAGAGGAGGAGTAGTAGTGGTGGTGGTTGTGATAGTAGTAGTAGTAGTAGAAGTAGAAGTAGTAGTAGTAGTAGAAGAAGAAGAAGTAGTAGAAGTAGTAGTAGTGGTAATGGTAGTGGTAGTAGTAGTGGTAGTAAGTAGTGGTAGTAGTGGTAGTAGTGGTAGCAGTAGCAGTAGTAGTAGTAGTAGCAGCAGTAGCAGCAGGAGTAGTGGTAGTAGTAGTAGTAGTAGCAGTAGCAGTAGCAGTAGTAGATAGTAGATGTAGATAGTAGATAGTAGATAGCAGATAGCAGATAGTAGTAGTAGTAGTAGTAGTTGTTGTTGTTGTAGTAGAAGTAGTAGTAGTAGTAGTAGTCGTATTAGTCGTCGTCGTAGTAGTAGTAAGAGGAGGAGGAAGAGGAAGAGGAAGAGGAAGAGGAGGAGTAGTAGTGGTGGTGGTTGTGATAGTAGTAGTAGTAGTAGTAGTAGTAGTAGTATTAGTAGTAGTAGTAGTGGTAGTAGTTATTGTTGTTGTTGCTGTTGCTGTTGCTGTTGCTGTTGCTGTTGTGTTGGTGGTGGCAATAGCAGTAGCAGCAGCAGCAGTGGCAGTGACAGCGGCAGTAGCAGCAGCAGCAGCAGAGCGGGAGCAGTAGCAGTCGTCGTAGTGTATTGGCAAAGGCAGTGGTAGGGGTTGGAGTAGGAGAACAGAAGCAGAAGTAGCTACTCGCAGCAGTCGGAGTAGTGGCCGCAGTGGGCATAACGTGGCAGCAGTAGTTGTCGCAGTTGTCTAGCTAGGCCATTTCCAGCACAGATTGGGTCCGCTCCTGAGGGTACGTTTATGCCTTCTAGATGCCAATTGTGCTCATTTCTGACTCATACTGTATCACGTGGGCATTATAAAGTGTTTGCATGGGTAGGTCGAGCCATGTCGAGCTCTAGGTGTTAAGGGTTAGGATTTGGCAACGAGCGGGAAGGTAGGACTCTCGGTGGAATGGGACGGGTCGCAGAGCTGCAAGTGCTGCAACTACGGCCCCCCTGTGCCCGTGCCAGAACAAGAAAATATCATCCGCTCAGAGCCAATGCTTCTGCTTTACTGGAAGCTGCATCTGATGAGAAAGCTAGGCATCTTGCCAGCTAGCCCTCAGTGCATTGGAATCCCCCCATCTGCTTAGACGTGGCGAAGAAGAGGGGGTGAGGGTTGCACCCGGGCCCGCTTTGGAAGAAAAGAAGGGGGGCCGGCGGCGCAAGGAAAGCAGCAAAGTCGCTAAGGACAGGAAGCAATTTAAT